TTTTCATGTTGAATCTCCACACGTGACAGATGTGACGAGTGTGGCTGCATCTGCAGAGACTCAGTTTCTTTCCCACTGGGTGATTTTGTGGCCGTGTGTGATGAGGGCACGATGAAGTGCAGGAGACACAGGTGGGAATCTTTTGGAAGAAACAAACAAAAAAGCGACAAACCCTTTACTGTGGTATTCTCATATAACAGAGGGGGTGTTTTTAACCCTTTTAAAGCCGGTCGGAGCGGGCATGCTCCGTTTTGCGTAACTATTTTTAAATCCCGGTAGCACTGCAACCACATAAGCTAGCGCCATAATTTTTTTTGCATATGAAACCGGAGGAGTTGTACTTACATCTTATGCCATCAGCTTGCCCTAAGTCACAGTTTCCTTCCACATATAGCTTTGAAAAACTGCATAAAAAGCGCTTGCAGGAACAAAAACATAATATTCCAGAAACACGCTTTGCTGATCCGATCAGCTGTTTGTGACACTTCCTACGTCCATCAGCACGAGCTCTCGCATGTCCTCCATGTCCTGCCCGAAACCGGAAGTGACGTCATTTTGCGGAAATGTAGTTTTTTGCCTTCAGGGCCTCATGAGCCTATACTGGTGTTTTTAAAAGTTATGTTTGAGTTTATGACTTCCTGTGTCGTTTCTGGGATGCTGAGGACTCATATTGCACTGCTGGAAATAGTTTATTTTGATGCATATGCTGTTATTTTGCAAATTTGCATCATAATATTTATTTTCGTTTTTCTTGCAGTACATAAAAATTGGTGTATTTCAAAAATAAAACTATAAAGACACTCAAAATAAATTTCCTGTGGTGGGAAACTAGTTTGTGCAACTCTTTTGTATTTACAGTTTTGAGGGATAAGCCTCTTAAATTTCTCTAACTAGAAATATATGTTAAAAAACAAAAACGATTTTCAATTTTTTTGTAGTTTATTGCACGTTTTTGAAATTTATGTAATTACTATGCACTTAATGCAGACATATTATTAAAATTTGGGCTATAATGGTTGTATTGATGTATAGCAACTTGAAATGCTCCCAAAAATGACACTACAGCCTGTAAAAATATACTATAAGCTCTGGCGGACTATGGCAGGTCTTAAAGGGTTAATTATTAACGTTGGTTTCTAACTGTAATAGATCTCCTGCTTTTGTTACAATCTTATGGACGACACCAGTGGACGTGGAAACATTTGGCACTGACGCTGTGTCTGGATACAGCTTCACAGAGCTATAGTCGTGTTAATTGCTGTGAGCCTCACAAATGGAATCCCACTGATGCCCATTGTTGTGTGTGGGGGTGTGTGAGGAGTTAACACAAAGCACTTTTAACCAGGCTACTGTTAACCATCTTTAATAGATAGATGGTTTTTATTACTCATGTATGTTTTTGAAGTTTTGGATGCCAAAATACATTTTGTGTCAACAAAACTGTAAATGATAAATATATTGGTCCACAGTTCCATTCTCTGATTCGTGCTGATGTGGAGACAACATTTCAAAGCCTGAACCCTAAAGAGCAGTAATAAAAAAAACGTGACTTTTTTTAACAGGTTATCAGCGACTCGTTAATGATGAGGCTTATCTTAGGTACATCTGCCATACCTACACATGCCTCTTATAACTAAACTGTAATTGTAAGAGATGTAAGATAAAGACAGTTGGTGCAGTCACATAAAAGTAGGTTGTGGTCCTTCAGTCGACAAGTTCCAAATGCTTTGAGTCACATGGCAGATATAATGGCAGGAGGTGAACTTCTCTGCAGTTCGAGGTGACATCCAAACTTCTTGTCTCACTTCAAAGCTGCAGCTCCTCAGAACTGTGTGGAGGTGGGGAACTTGTTACATGGATGTTACATATGTAACGTATGTTTGTTCGGCTGACTGAGGCACGCGTGTGTTCGTGTGTGTGCTCCAGGGAGAACATATGCCCTGGTGTTGGAGGGGGGTTGGGAAGGAGGGGTCAGGTGCAGGCAGCTGGCGTGTGTCGGGTCAAGGGTCTACAGCTGTTGATAGCAGGGTGGTACACTGACACAGATGGGGGGGGGGGGTTATGCACCAACATTCTGCACCAGTCTGGATGTGACTGGATGTGTGTGCTATGTAAGTGAGAACCAGTCACTTGGTGGTTGCACAGATGGCTGCTGCAGGAGGTGAGACGGGGAAAAATGTGGGTCTAATAAAGCTGAGACAGCAAGTGGGTAACTAATATGAAGCAAACAGACTGTCGTGGGGTTAGGGGAGCCCGATGATGTGTCAGGCTGTGCATAAAAGATCCATAAAAAATGTTTTCCCACTGTGTGGTCCAGCGCTGTCAGCTTTTACTGTTGCTACTAGTTTGGTGGAGACTTCGAGTCTTTGCGTACAACAGTTCTTCATACATGGACGCGGTGACACGTGAAGGAAACGTGCTGTAAAGTGCTTCCTACAGAAGCAGCATCAGATAGGAAGGTAGGGAGTATTCCCTGATCAGGGTTAGGGTTTGTTTCATAACTAATGACTGAAGCCTGGTCTCACAATAACCAAGTTAGCAAGTCAAAATGAATGATAGTGAAAACAAACGTGCACGAATGAACACACATAAGATAAGAAGGTAAGCTGTATTAAAACTACTCATGTTGTGTTAAGTGTTGGGGAGTTGATCAGAGTTATAATAATATTTTGGTTTATTTTTACTTTTTATAATGAAACTTTTTTAGCTTTAATGTTCTTAATGATATGAATGTTAGAGGTGAATGTGCGTGGTATTAAAGTTCAGATGTTGCAGCGCTCTGTGATGGCAGGTGACTCACAGGAAAGCACCCAAACTTCATCAGGTTGCTTGTGAAAACTAAATTGACCAAACTGAGATCAAACCAGAGAAATTTCCTCCACATTTTCATGCTAACACATTCCCCACATCACTACAGCTCCACCACCGGTCTGTAGTGCTGATACAAAGCAGGATGGATCCCCGCTTGGAGGATGTTTTATGACCAATTCTGATGGTAACTGTCGGATTTTTTTTTTTTCCCAGTAGAAATTGAGATGTCAGACTGGGCAACATGTTTCCAGTCTTCTATTGTCCAGCTTTGGTGAGCTTGTGCGAACTGTAGCCTGAGTGTGAACAATGATGGTGAGGTGGCTGTGGTCTGCTCTTAGGTCCACTCGGTCGCTGTTGTGTCACACCTCTTTGACACCACACACACACAGTGTAAGGTCTGAGTGGGTCTGCCCTTTATTACTCCATGTAACTGAGAGTGCTCTTTCTGTTTCAGATTTGTGAGTACTCTGTACTGACTCAGTTACTTTGTTTTGTTGATTTTTATTTTGGTTCACTATTTTTTGACGTCTAGTTTTAGTTGACTTGGTCGCCTTGTTGGTGATCATCGACTGCATGTAGCTTTCCAGTCTTACAGTGGGAGCCCCTTAAAACTGCATTCATCTTAAAGGCCAGCAGGGGGAGACTCCTCGAGCTGCCAGATGTATTAAAGAAGGGCCCTGCTTTTCTCCTGCCGGATGACCTCACGTAACACTTTCCTGAGGAGTGCACGATCTTCATCATTACTATATGATACTGCAACCTGTGCTGCTCCTCACATGCTACTTAGTTTACAATCACCAAGAGGATCAGAACGAGTTTCCTTAGAGGCTTCACGCTGAGTCTTTTATAATACAGCCTGTTGTGGTGGGATTTGTCACAGGGGTGAGCATGAGTCACGAACCAGAAGGAAATAAGAGATCATCTCAATCTATTTACATAAAAAACAACATAAAATGAAGGAGATCGATGCTGAGTTTGTTAAAGTAAGACATGAATTTTAGTGATGAGGTTACAGGTGAAAAGATGTTTAAGACACTGGACTGAAACATTCACACATCCATGATGCGTGAATGACGTCACTGTCATTATATTCATGCTGCTATCCTGTATATATTGTACAGACTATTGTTTGAGTACTTACGATTGTACTTTTTATATTTTACATTTATATTTATTATTGAAACTTGCACCAAGGGAGTGGCACTCCAATTTCGTTGTACTCTGTACAATGACAATAAAGGCTATTCTATTCTATTCTATTCTATTCTATTCTATTCTATGCAAGTCTCCTTTTCCACTGTGAGATCTACGATCAGAAGATGGATAAGCTATCGTTATAAAAGCATAATAGTCTTAGGCTGTGGTGTTTAAGCAATATTCTGTTGGCACTCAAAGGTGTGTGAAACCTGTACCACTGATATCAAACAGGATGGATCCACACTTTTATGTTGTTCATGTGAAATTATGTCTGATTGTTGCAGTATCAGACATGGCAACATTTTGTGGTGAGCTTGTGCGACAGTTTCTTATGCTTAGCTGCCTGGTGTGTTCTTCTGATGTTGGGGGGGTTTCTCTGCATGCATCCTCATCAAGCCGTGTTCATATCTGCAAGGACACACTGTGATGGGACTTTGTGGCCACACTCCCCTGGCTTACAGACAATCTAGTTCAGGTAGACTACTCTCTCCTCTGGGCTCAGCGTGTCTGCTCTGCTCACTGTTGTTCGCACTGGGCTGTAGCCTCCAGACTTCCAGCTTAAATGAATGGACTGGCCTTAAATGGCCTTTGTGCTCTACCTGAGCACTCAAAGGGCTTTATGTAACTTGCCTCATTCGCCCATTCGCACAAGCTTTCTGTCTAACATTCATGCACATTGGACATGTCCAGTACACCAGAGAGCAACGTGGGCTTGGTATATTTGGCGTGCAAACCAGAGCAGCTGTTAATAGACGACCTGCTCAGCTACCCTGAGCAGTAGCGTTGGTCAGTGTGGATGTGTGGGCTACAGGCACAACACAAGTCTGACTGACTGAACTGCCAAACTAAAAGAAGCCAAACTTTGTGCTATAACTTTTGTGTCTTACAGCAGTTAATTGCACGTTGGAGTTTGAATCCTTTTTGTTAATATTATCATAATTGCCAGTACTCTGTAACAATTGGAGCACTAACCTCGCACCTCTTTTCTGCAGGTTTTTACAGCGATCATCAGCTTGAAACTGAGCACAACAACATGGGTAAGTTCATAAACCTGCACTTACCTCAGATTTCAATCTTACTTATCTTCCCTTACTTTTCTGTTTAAGTACTAATGAAAAATATTTAGTTACATTTGCCCCCAGTATCTGTTTACTCCAAAATACATGAACTTTTCTCTGGTCCAACAACGCTGAACCTCACTTTTAGTTTCTGATCTTGAAAATGATCTTTGGACAAAGATCTCCCTCTAGTGGTAAAGTGAAATGTGAAATTAATAAATGGGTTCTAGTTTCCAATCAAAACCACAAGAGGGGGGTATAAACCCAACGACAGCCGCTTCCATCCACACGAGCATGGAGAGAGAAATCCAACAAGTGGAAATGAAATGTCTAAACACATTTACACGTTTCATAAAGCAACGAGTCTTGATGGTCTGCTTCAGCGATGTGATCTCAGAGAACTTCAATAAATGAAAGTAATCGACGTCTTTGTTGTCTTCAACATCTCTGCGCGGTGGACGCAGTGCAGAGATGCAACACGAGCGCTAGAAATGTGTCGGGAAGACGTGACTCCTGGTTTCAGGGGAAGCTGGATGCAGGGGGACAGGGTGAGGCAGTGGTCCAATGTTAAGGTCCAGGTTCAGATGAAGTTCACTCAGGACTCCCCTGGCTGCCATTGCAGCGCCAGGTGGCACCATGGAGAGGGTCATAGGTCATGCACAGTTCAAAAAGCGCTGACCTCACCGTGACTCCACGCTGACCTGTTTGTGCGCAGCTCTGCTCTCATAGTTCCTCCATAAACCTGCAAGTGTGTGTGTGTGTGTGTGTGTGTGTGTGTGGAGGGGTCACTAAGAAGTAGAAGGAAGCCGAGAGGAACTATTAAACCTGCGCACACACTGAATGGCGGGCATTGTCAGCGTGCTGCAGGAGAAGGCGTGGATTTATGAGACCAGGCATGATTGGGTTGTAAACTTGACGAGGTGGGTTCGCTCTGTTAGCTCTATTCTCATCCCAGGATGCTGCAGTGCACGCACTGGGCAAGGGTGACGCAGAGGTCAAGGGGGGCTGCAGAAAGCCTCCTCCGGCTTGTAAAGGCTGTGACAGGGCTGGGAATTCACAGACCTCCATTCAGTGACCAAAAAAAGCCAGGTCAGGGACCGAATAGCTGCGCTAGCAGCAGCTGTTTCCAACACGAGCCCAGTACATGAAGTCTTAATATCAACTCTGTTATCTCAGAAATGTTTTTTCTTCACTAGAATCTTAATCTCTGAAGGTGAATCGTGTTGTGGTCATGAAGCAGCAGATGGTCATTTATTGGAGATGGATTTGTGCACCACGGGGCTGTAAACCTACGACAGTGTGCTGTCCTGGCCACAGATGTTCAGAGCTCTTTGGGGAAGCGTAAAGAGATGAAGTCCATTTAAAAAAAGAAAGAGCTGCACACTTCATCACTCACACGTAACACTTTGTTTTCCATCAGCTGGAAGTTAACTGTTTAAAAGCCAAATTCATGCAAATCTCTTGAATTCGTGCGGCAGTGACATTTGATTTGATTCTGGGAATAACTGAGCGTGTCAGAGATGAACCTCGGGCCAAAAACACCGAGTGTGTTTGGATTAATAGAAGGTCATTCTGTCTTGAACAGGGAGCCAAAGTATTACTGGGAATAATATTTTCATGTGTAAGGATCCCGGCTGCTGCATTTGAATGTCCTGAACTAGTTCTACTGAAAGTCCAGTGCAGTGTTACAATAATCTCACCTGCTTGTCATGAATGCAGGTCAGAGTCAGGTTTTTTAACTTGATATATTTTTCAAGTACCGTAATGGAAAGGAGGTGTGGTGGCCTTATTAATACGATCATCAGAACTTGAATCACAGAAATGGAAGTTAAATCTGATCAAATTTAGACAAAGAGAAAGTCTCGTCTCCAAGTTTTGACACATCTGCAGTTAATGTGAGTGCAGCTCGTTGTGAACAGAGGTTAGAAGATCAGAGTAGAATGTAGCTCTGTATCATCTACATAAGAGCAGCAGGACACATTATGACTCTTCATATTATTACCAAAATACTACATCAAGGTTAAAGAGTAGTAGACCAAGGACAGACCCTTGAGGAACCCCTGACTGAAGCCTGTGCAGGTCTAAAGTCATCGATCGAAATATTAAAAGTTCGACCCTTTAGCTGTGATGTAATCCAACCAGGAAGCTGACCTGTTAAAGCAACTCATGAAGTCTTTGAATTAAAATGAAAGGGATCAAATAAAACCAGGACTGTGAGTCACTGCTGGTCCTCGGTGACTTTAGTAAGAGCTGTTACTGAAACCTTATTGGTCCTTATCATTACAGACTGTGAGAAGTTCTTCATACAGCTGTTTGTAAATGTGTTTTTTCCAAATATTGAGCTGAGAAAACGGTTTAGAAATATCTGTAAATACTCATGGCTCTGGAGTAGTGGAGTGATTACAGCACTTTTGAGAGAAACAGAGCTGGGTGGATGGGATCTAGATTTGTAGGTTAGCAGGTATGTGGACTCACAGCGGTAGTTTGATAAGAATGTGAAGCAGTGCTGGATAAACTAGAACAGCACACATGACCTCTAACACTACAACATTTGTTGTGGAAGAAAGAAGCGAATTCGTGACATTTATTTATTGAAAGAATTTTGGTGAATGTGTTTTTGGAGCCATTAAGTCGTTTAAAGATGGATAAAAATAAACGACTGAATTAGACTCGTTATTGTTAATCAGCTGGAAGCTGATTGGGTGATGGGCCATTTCTATAGGTTTCAAAATGAATTTGTAGTTTATGTATATTTTCCATTTTAAACATAGTTAATTTCGTGTTTTGAGCTCCACCTCCAGTCTCCCTGTGCTGACCCGGTCCTCATTCTTCTCTGACCCCCTCCCCTTCAGTGACCAATGGCTTATCAGTGTCCTTTGGTGATGGTCTGTGGTTTCGTGGTTAATCATTACCAGGTGGGGACGGGACTTTCTCTTCTCAACTTTGTCCCTGAGTAGTTGGACTGACTGGATCTGTGCACACAGTTTCCCACTCAGTCCTGTAACTGTTCTACTCAAACTAGAAACAAAGCAAAATAATGTAATATATGTATTTCATGTCCGTCTTAGTGCATGTGGACTGGTGGTATATAAAGAAAAAGAGGCCATGAAATGGTTTAAGAACATTTATTTCCTTTTGCATTTATCAGACTGGACCTGGTTGACCGCGAGCACAAACTGATACATTTAGTTTGTTTATTGGTTTTGTTCCTTCAGTTATTATATCGAAGTTCATTCCCATAAATTGGTGTGACAAATAAATGGTTTAAAAGTCACTCTGTGTTTACTCATATGGAATATTTTTACCTCACGTTTGTTAATGAATCAGTGACCTCTGCAGTGGTGCACATTACAAATGATGACATGTAGGGCGGTTTCATGATATTTATAATATTCCAATAGTTGTTGCTTTGGCTCAGCTGTTGGAGGGCAGTCCTGCGTGCAGTCCTTTCACTTCGTTGTTCTCATTGTTCGCTCTGATGTGCTAAAATATTTGCAAACAGTTACAGTGTGACAGTGAAATGAACGGTCACAGAATAGCAGAATACTGTGTGTTTACATTTGCTGCGGCCTTTATCTTCCTGGTGCTGCTGCCCATGCACGGGCAGTGTGGGAGCTGATCATCAGTAGTCTGGTATCAAGGACTGTTAGCAAATGAGAAGACGTGGAATACATTTCTGGAGTTGTCATCTGACAAAATAAACTCTTTACACACCGTCAAAGCTGCTTTTCATTTTTCTGTTTTACTGATAGAGTCACTACACAAAAAGTGTCACGAGTTAAAGGCTCTGAGGGAGCTGCAGACCAGCGCTGTGTCGCTGTTTCGGACGATGAGATGTGAGAACTTCAAAGCCGATGCAAGAGATGTGCCAAAGCAGCTGACCTGTAATGTAAACGTGCCTCGTGAATGCGACACTGCACGGCACACACCATAAGGGGGCAGTAGATCCCTGCTGGACCCCCACGTGACGTATGATCCCACGTGCCACCTGGACCCAGTGAACTCACCCACACACCCATATGGAAGTACTTGGCCTGTGCCCAGCACATGCTTCTCCTTTGTCCTCACATAACTGGGCTAACTTCATATGGCTGTGTCCAGAAGTCATTCAGGATCACCAGGTTTTGATTTTCCTGCGTGCTACGGAGCAGAGCAGCCAAACACTTGCCCTGCTTCAGATGCCTCCTCTTTATTCCCTTCAGCTCACATAAAGTGGATTTCACCGTTGGCGGGGCTCTGCTGCTGCCCTCTGTGCTTTCTCATCGTTTTAGCCTTTAATAATTTACGTTGAGCCTAGATTTCGTTCGCTGTGCTTTTTTTCTTCCTTCGCTTGATGCGAGCTGCGTTGGCGTTGGACTGCAGGTCAGCCTGCGGAGTGTTTCCAGGTCAGGGAGAAGTGGGTCACGCAGTTCCCAGTGTCAGTGCCTGTAACTTCACAGTGTATGATGACAAAGCCCGACACCACAGGGATAAACAAGCACAGTTTGTGTGGCCCTGATATAAGTAGCAAACGTCCGCCGCGTGCAGGCCTCTGTAGATAGTCCTCTTTACTCACAGTTGCAGAGAACCTGCGCTGACATTTCATTTACTCATTTATTTGTACATGAATCCCTCATTGAATGCCAGCACAGTTTACCTGGAGCTTTAGAATTGCAGCAGGCTTATCGTGGCTCCAGTTTATAGACGACGAGTGTTTTCTGCTGCAGCCGAATCCCAGATAAGAGGATTTCTTTAAAAAGGTCGACATTTAGATTTATCCTCTCTACGTTCATCTTCAGTTGTTTTTGTGCTCAGATCAAAGTATTTAACTTTTCAGTTCTTTCTTTCATAACATATCGTAATATTTTAAACACGGATATGTGCACAGAGTTTATGTTCCCTGATAATACACAGATATGTACGCAAAATGGATCTGTGGCCCTCTGCTGCTTAGTAAACCAGTAAA